CGAGGGGAGGGCGTGAGGGAAGTCTTCACCCAGGGATTATCGTTCAGGTGTGTGGTGTATTAAATTACACACCTGCCAGCTTCCCTGCACCACTTTGGGCACACATGTCATCAAATCATCATTCTGGGGCCGCATGATGCCCAAAATGTGCCAACGCGAGTGCTATCGGGTATTGGGATAAGACTCAGACGACATCCAGTACTTTTGTACAGTCAGTGTGGCCTAGTGGTTATAGTACCGGACACACCAAGAGGCCCTGGCAAACTAGGTTCGAATCCTTCACGGGTCAAAGAGTTTTCTGATGCATTTTGGTCTCGGGGACCATTCAAGCTTGACACACACATATATATAAGCTTATATAACCTATATCTGCCCTTAAAGCACCATATTGCCTGTTTAGAAGATGCTTAACGTCATTTAGATTAACGCCAGATTCACGAAGCAGTTACACAAGCACTTACGAACCTAGGGCCAGATTCACGAAACAGTTACGCAAGCACTTACGAACCTAGGGCCAGATTCACGAAACAGTTACGCAAGCACTTACGAACCTAGGGCCAGATTCACGAAACAGTTACGCAAGCACTTACGAACCTAGGGCCAGATTCACGAAACAGTTACGCAAGCACTTACGAACCTAGGGCCAGATTCACGAAACACTTACGCAAGCACTTACGAACCTAGGGCCAGATTCACGAAACAGTTACGCAAGCACTTACGAACCTGGGGCCAGATTCACGAAGCAGTTACGCAAGCACTTACGAACCTGTACATCTTTTCTCAATCTTTGGCGGCTTTGTTTACAATTATTAAACAGTTAATGAGCTCCAAAGCACCAGGAGGCTGTTTATAACAATAACAACAGTTGATTGACAAGTTTTCATGCTTGTAAACTGTTTAATAAATGTAACCAAAGCCGTCAAAGATTGAGGAAAGATGTACACGTTCGTAATTGCTTGCTTAACTGCTTCGTGAATCTGGCTCCAGGTTCGTAAGTGCTTGCGTAACTGCTTCGTGAATGTGGCCCCAGGTTCGTAAGTGCTTGCGTAACTGCTTCGTGAATCTGGCCCCAGGTTCGTAAGTGCTTGCATAACTGCTTGGTGAACCTGGCACCAGGTTCATAAGTGCTTGCGTAACTGCTTCGTGAATCTGGCCCCCAGGTTCGTAAGTACTTGCGTAACTGCTTCGTGAATCTGGCCCCAGCTTCGTAAGGACTTGCGTAACTGCTTCGTGAATCTGGCCCCAGGTTCGTAAGTGCTTGTGTAACTGCTTCTTGAATCTGGCCCCAGGTTCGTAAGTGCTTGCGAAACAGCTTCGTGAATCTGGCCCCAGGTTTGTAAGTGCTTGCGTAACTGCTTTGTGATCTGGCCCCAGGTTCGTAGTGCTTCGTAAAAGTTTCGTGAATCTGGCTCCAGGTTCGTAAGTGCTTGCGTAACTGCTTCTTGAATCTGGCCCCAGGTTCGTAAGTGCTTGCGTAACTGCTTGTGAATCTGGCTCCAGGTTCGTAAGTGCTTGTGTAACTGCTTCTTGAATCTGGCCCCAGGTTCGTAAGTGCTTGCGAAACAGCTTCGTGAATCTAGCCCCAGGTTCGTAAGTGCTTGCGTAACAGCTTCGTGAATCTGGCGCAAGATCTACATGAGTACACCATTAATATCTTCCCGTTCTTTAGACCGTCTAAACAAAAGGGGAAACTAAAGAATTCTGATTCGCTTCCGGAAATCGATTAAAACGAGACATTTGGACATCGACGGTGAGTCCGGACTCCGGACCTGAGACTGCCAGGATGTCCCACCGTCCCCAGGGACCCCTGCCGTCCGTGTCCACCACCCCGGGCCAGTCCGGTGTCCTCACTAGGACACGTTCCTACCCGCGGACGTCCTCGTCGTGGGACATTCATGCGACAGGATGGGGTGACACCACCGGACCAGGGGGCGCTGGACACCACGCCACAAGGCCCCCGCCGCCCAGTTGGGGCGCTGGGACGTCGCCGAAGCAAGCCACGGCCGGGGTTTGGGACACCGGAGTGAGGTGTCAAGCCAGTGTCCGGTCTGTGGTCGGGTGCGGACGGGAGAAGGTGGACTCGTCCGCCCCGAGGGGCAGGTTCGCGCCGCCCATTGGCTCCAAGTGCTTGACTTTGGGGCGTTCTGCCAGCTTCGTCTTGCGGCCTCTCACGCGGCGACTAACGCAGGTAATGACGCAATGGGTGACGCATGACGCAAGGGGTGACGCATGACGCACGGGGGTGACGCATGACGCAATGGGGTGACTCATGACGCAAGGGGTGACTCATGACGCAAGGGGTAAGTGCGGGTTATGCGACTAAGGGGCGACGCACATACTGACGCAGTGAGCGACGCACATGCTAAATAATCTTTGTCCACCCTGTGTACTCAACTATTTCTGCCCTGCAGGATCGAACTTTAGCTCTTGGACCCTGTTTTTCAAGCCGTTGGTTGTCTAATACAATGACTCCTGACCAATTTCCCTATCATACCTGCTTTTAAATCTACAATTATTATCTACAATCTATTAAATTATTGTGTATCGTTTAGGTCATTCCATTTACTCATTACCTTTACGCTAAAGGAAACCTTTCTAACATCTCTATGACACATCTGAGTTTAAAGCTTCCATCCGTACCCCCTTGTTCTGTTCATATTTATTGTAAACAATTCCTGTTTCCATCTTGTCAATTTTTCTTAGGTATTTTATACGTCTGTATCATGTCTCTTCTCTCTCGCTTCTCTTTTCTAACGTCGTCAGGTTTAGTTTCTTCAGTTTGTCTTCGTATATCATCCCTCGCAGCTCTGGGACGAGTCTCGTTGCAAACTTCTGCACGTTTTTCGTGTGTGTGTGTGTGTGTGTGTGTGTGTGTGTGTGTGTGTGTGGTGTGTGTGTGTGGTGTGTGTGTGTGTGTGTGTGTGTGTGTGTGTGTCTGTGTGTGTGTGTGTGTGTCCGCTATCCCTCTAGTACATACCTTCAAGACACCCCCTTAACTCCCCCCCACACCCCCTCCTGCTCCCCCCCCACTATTCATCTTGGCAGCTACGACCCCCCCCCCAAGGGAAACTGATATCCTTGATATCTACCACCTAGATGTCGACTTTGGGTTTCTAAAGTCACAGTATACTTTACCATCTAACTATAACAGCTGTAATCCTTGGACTGTTAACTATATTTTTATGAATGCTGATCACCAGTCACAATAGTCTGGTTGAACACAACCCAAAGTGCAGGTATGACGCTATGTTTCGTTCCGCTGCTGAAGACTTATGAAGCGGACTTGATCTACTCTCGATATATTACTAAAATATGATTGTTTGGGCACGGGTATATGCCCCGCGGGACAGGATGTGTGAGTGCCTAATCAAGCGGGTTCGACACCACCCTAGTGGCACCATTTCGCCTGCCGATAGCCATAAATTTATGGCTTAAACTGTAAATGTGATGACTTAGACTGTAAACTGGTGGATGAAACTGTTAACTGATGGCAGTATAATGTTTCTAACCCCCGAACACCACATTCCTGACTGTAATTACATGACAGTTAACCACTAAACTGTAATGAGCTAAACGGTGACTGTTTTGTTTATGTGGTTATCTCTCACATCTCAATCTGGCGGGAAACTGCGTGACGTCACGTCCGGTAATGCGGCCCCATCTCCCCGGCTGCTGCTGCTGGCTTTCACACAAATGTCGGAGAGATAAGGTCCTCTAGCCACACCTCCCCTGCTCCCAACTATCCATATCCTTGCCAACAACTGCCACCAGAGCATTAAATTCAACGTACTACTTGATGAAACAAACCGTGCGGCTCGGAGGGATACCGATAGCGAGCTTGCTGATTGGCTGACGCGTGGGGGTGGCGGACAAAGGAGGGCGGGGCTAACTTTCCCGCCAAAAGGAAGGTAAACAAATAGTCGCTCTAATGGCGGCAGGAAAGGTAACCTTGTTTCGTTATCACTCTCCTGCTGCCGTGTGGTTGAGACCTGGCAGGGGCCGCCAGTGTACGAATGGTGAGTGTGGTGAGAGGGGTTTATAGTAACGGTTGGGCAAGCTTTTTTACCTAATAATGTTGACTTGTCTGTTCTATGTGATGAAAACTGGTTTCTATAAATGTTTAGTGTTGTAAAATGTTCTCCACGAATGTTTAGTGTTGTAAAATGTTCTCCACGAGTGTTTAGTGTTGTAAAATGTTCTCCACGAGTGTTTAGTGTTGTAAAATGTTCTCCACGAGTGTTTAGTGTTGTAAAATGTTCTCCACGAGTGTTTAGTGTTGTAAAATGTTCTCCACGAGTGTTTAGTTGTTGTAAAATGTTCTCCACGAGTGTTTAGTGTTGTAAATGTTCTCCACGAGTGTTTAGTGTTGTAAAATGTTCTCCACGAGTGTTTAGTGGTTGTAAATGTTCTCCACGAGTGTTTAGTGTTGTAAATGTTCTCCACGAGTGTTTAGTGTTGTAAAATGTTCTCCACGAGTGTTTAGTGTTGTAAAATGTTCTCCACGAGTGTTTAGTGTTGTAAAATGTTCTCCACGAGTGTTTAGTGTTGTAAAATGTTCTCCGCGAGTGTTTAGTGTTGTAAAATGTTCTCCACGAGTGTTTAGTGTTGTAAAATGTTCTCTACGAGTGTTTAGTGTACTGGAACAGTCTCTGATGTTGACGGTTGATGTTTTCAAAGGTTTTTAACGACCGTTTGTCTTGTGGTTTCGTTAGGTGGTAATATAGTTAAGCTTTAACAGATGTGTCTCGGTTATACAACAAAGCTTAATATGAAGGATGAAAGCTGCATAGTTTGACCTGTTGATGTGTCAGACAGACAAACTTATGCTTAAGAATAACACTAACAAGCTGGACATAATTAAGCTGTTTTAAAAACAAGCTGATAAACAAGATACGACTTATCTGTTCGCCAATAATAGACTAACAGGGCATAACAGAACTGTTGACCAATAACGGGCTATTAAGGCATAACAGATCTGTTCCTCACTAACAGACCGACAAACGATGTGTGAGAGTACGGAAGGAGAGGCATCAGAGAAAATGGTAAGTCGAGATGTTTCTTCCCATTTCGGAAAATGTCCCAATTTTGATAACCGTTCTTCCACCCTTTATAGGGTTACCCAGGGTAACCCCCTTTCCCTAAGGGAGGGACAGCTTGCCTCGACCCCCTATGAACGTCCCCCACCACCCACCAGTCACTCTACAAAGTCTAGTGAGGGTAGACCCTTCCCGCCTCTGGTATAGTCTCCCCCTAAATATTATTTTTAATGAATGACGTTGATTTTTTCTGTCTTTCCTATCCATTTTCTCTCTGTTCCATTTTCTTTGACCGTAGAATTTGTTGTTTGTCATGCCCCCGCATCTCGTTTTCTTTCAGAGTCCCGCATCTCGTTTTCCTTCAGAGTCCCGCATCTCGTTTTCCTTCAGAGTCCCGCATCTCGTTTTCCTTCAGAGTCCCGCATCTCGTTTTCTTCCAGAGTCCCGCATCTCGTTTTCTTTCATAAATACCACACATCTCATAATATCTGAGACATCCATCAGGTGTTTCTTCCCTCACAGACTCACACTTTCACGAGACCTCCCCCCACCACGTCCCATTTTCTCTCAGATGCCTCAGCCCATTTTCTATCATTCCAGGGGGTACTGGTGCAGGAGGTGGACGAGGGCCAGCCATGCCTCATGTGTCGCGACAAGTGTCCGGGCTACACATCCCACGTGTGGAGGTGAGTACACACACACACACTTGAGTACCACTTGGAGTCGATCTTAAGTCACTGGAGTGCACTTGAGTGTCACAAGTGGCCTTAAAGTGCCACGAACGAAGCCTTTTAGGGAGATAATTAAGGTAATAGCAGGTATAGCCTTACCTGTGTGGCTCCGGGTCACTTGAGCTCATCCACCTGAAAGGTCGAGTGGATGGTTTAGGGGGGTGGAGGGGTCGTTTAAGGGGGGGGGGTTAAGGGAGGGCATATAAGGGTGAATTAAGGGGGATATGATAAGAAAATACGAAGGAAGGAGGTGATATAGAAGGTAAGGAAAGGTTTATAT